GTTTGTAAAGTGAGTACCCTAATGCATCGTGCGATGGATTTTTGATTTCACTTATTCGATGCAATATGTTATCATGGCTCACAAATACAATATCCCGCATAGAAAAAAGTCCAACAATAACTAAAGCAACATCATTTAACGTTGGTTGATTATACCGTCCACTGTGACCATTTGTAGGCTCTCTTTCAGCTTTTGTCGACCCAATTAGCGTTAGGAGTAGTGAACCTTCCTCTTGCGCCAGAGGATGTGGGTTCGATCCACTGGAAAGATTTTGTGTGATGAACATAGTGTTTTTATAGTGTCTGGGTGTTTATATATCTATAATATGTATTTATTTACAAATGGTTTACCTGCTCCTGCACTTTGTATTTCGCGGTACAGTTTATAAGCCGGTACAATTTTTCGTTATGCCATTTTGGAGCGGCAATAATGCTTACAAGTTTTATATGCGTTCACTGATTGCAACAAGCTTATATGTTAGTTCAAAGTTTTTTTAATAAAATCTGTTTGAGTTTTCAACCACGTGTCAAAATAAAATGTAATTTAAATCTAAATCACTGAGGAATATTTATATCAACATCGATGCAAACCACCCCCAAATTAACTTTCTATCTCTTTATTGTGTATTCTATTGCATTAGGGGATATGATTCAATAAAATTCCGAACACGTCTTACGTCAATTATGTTAAAGAATCTTTATGCAAAATTTGAGGCAGATTCGATCAAGGGATCACATTGTCCCATAAAAACTTTGCCCCCGTTTTCCACCCCTTTAGGAGTAGAATTTCAGAAAACCCTTTCTTATCATATGCCTACGTCAAACAAAGAACACAGCTTCCAAGTTTTAGGTCTTTACGATCAGCGGTTTAGGCTGTGCGTTGCTCCGTCATTCAGTCATTAAGGACAAAGCATTTTATATGTATTGATAATATATTTTGGTACAGCTCCAAGCCAAACTAAAATAAACAAACATTTGTCGTGTTGCAAACTTGTATTGGTGTACAGAATGGTAATTTTAATATCTGGTAGTTAATCATTTAAAATGAAAAAAGTCGTATCAACGCTATGGAACCACTCCCGAAATTCAACCTTTTTGATAAATACGGAATAGGGAAAACCATTATAGGTATTTAATCGCTCTGTTTAAATTCTTCCGCATTAGTTCGTATTTTAATGAGATGCCAATATGATATGAACCCATATTAATCTTGTCACAATTGCTAAAAAACCACGGAAATATCCATAATATTTAAACGAAATCGAAATGTGCATTCAGATATATTCCTAAAGTAATGCGTCTGATCGCATCCGGAACCTATATATTTTTGAAATAATAACAAAAAAAAATATTTCGAAGATATGTAAACCTCCAATTCACAATGGGGCCGTGGGGTGGACTATGCCCTGATATCTTCAGTACAAAGGTAGCCTTTGCCCAGCCGTGGGATATATATAGGCTGTTACTTTACTTCCACATAACAGGCGGAGAGCCCGTGACAAGTCTATAATGATTTCTTGATATGAATAACACTGTTGCAATGCCGTAGGAGTGTCCTAATAATAAAAAAGTAAAGAAAAGTAACTCTCTACAGAGGGTATCAGGGCATATTTATTATTTCGAAAATATGCACGTTTTCTCACAAGGTTTTTTTACTTAAAATTAACAATTTCATTGGTACTGGCACCGGGGATCGAACTCAGCTTGCTCGAGTATATAGAAGTACCCGGAGGACCGAGCTTTGCTCGGTTTTTTTTTTGGTAAATCGTGTATTTTGAATATTACATTGAGATACAAATTACTGAGTAATGAAATATGCATAATATTTTTCGATCTTACCGACGTAATAATAAGAAAATATGAACTGATGTTTTTCACAAAAGAATGAACTTTTAAAAAAAGGGAAAAAATAACAAAATAACTAAAATTAAAAAAATTAAAAATAAAGAAAGCAATGATCTGGAATCGAAAAAAAAGTAAAAAAATAAATGTGTAAATGATCGTGACGCGAATCACGGCCGTCTGTTTTGGGGCCGCCCGATTACTGACCGAGCTATTATGACATTTTCTCTTGCGGCGAAATTTACCGTCATATTCGAATAACATTTTTCATTCCCTGAAAACAGGGATAAAAGGACATTTTCTAAAAATGAAACCTAGCTAGATCGATTTTTCACCCCGAATCTACGCACATTCTAAATGTCATGAAAATCGCTGGAGCCGTTTCCGAGATTCCGATTATATATAATTATATATAATTATATAGAAGAATTGCTCGTTTAAAGGATAAGATTCTAAAAATGAAACCTAGCTAGATCGATTTTTCGCCCCCGAATCTACGCACATACTAAATTTCATGAAAATCGCTGGAGCCGTTTCCGAGATTCCGATTATATATATATATATATATATATATATATATATATATATATATATATATATATATATAGAAGTTAAGCCCATTTTTGAATTTTATTTTATTTTGTCAAGCTTTAGCTTAAACTGGGTTTTATTAGAGGACTATCTGATCCATGCAATTTCATCCGTAAGAAAGATTTCTGGGCCACCCCCGTAGGTCCAATAGTTTTGTAAATACCCTATAATTTTCAAGAATTGGGCGCTTCAGCTTTATTTATATATATATATATATATATATATATATATATATATATATATATATATATATATATATATATATATATATATATATATATATATATATTCTTCTGTACGTGTGTATGTTTACTGAACTCTTAACGGCTGGACCGATTTTGATGTGTTTTTGCGTGTGTCTTCAGGTCGATTCGAAAATGGTTTAGATTGACATTTTTGTTTTTCTATTTTTTTTTAATTATAAGTTGTTGTCGGATTTAAGACGTATGTTCAGGACATCTGTTGGGGTCGTTAGCATTGGTATAGATTTGTCCACGGCTGAGACAAAATTCAGCTATCTCCGCACCATCACCGTCCCACTCTTGTGGGGTTGTTATATTCGTTTCTAGTGCAATACTTTCTAGTACATATTATAAAACAAAGTCGTCCCGCTGTCTGTCTGTCCCTATGTATGCTTAGATCTCTAAAACTACGCAACGGATCTTGATGCGGTTTTTTTTTACTGGATAGAGTGATTCAAGAGGAAGGTTTATATATACATTACACCCGTGCGAAGCCGGAGCGGGTCGCTAGTCTTTTATAATTGAAAGTGCAGGTAAGACACAAGGTTTGCCGAGAGGCATTTTTGAATGTCAATTGCCAATGTCATAAATAATTATTTTTTTATATGAAAAAACTCCTTTTTGGAAATTTTGATTTATTTTGAATCTATATTAATAAATATTCATGGCCACGAGAAGGTGTATAATTGAAGTAAGAGAAATGATAAATAAGTTCTGTAAATCCGGAGAAAAGTTTAATTTTAAGAATTGCTTCTTTTCTCTATATTATTAACACACTTTTATTACCTTGGTATGTATGTAACGGAATCTCAGAAAGTGATTTTGATCCAATTCAAAACGTCGAATTAAATTGAAACTGCATAATTATCAAGGATCAATGAAATGAATTACCACTATCCTGATCCTTCAGGATTAGCAATTTTTCAAATCCGATAATTTTTTAAACGCGTATTTGGCTCAATGACACCCGGGTCATTAAGCCAAAAACGCTTTTGGCTTAATGATCATACGTAATTTTAAATCCCTCAATTTCGGTGCGCTAGTGTAATGTCTACCTTATAATTCTAGGTGTCTTCTACCTTGTATTTATCGTATCTACCTTGTATACAAGTGTACCACCAGCTCTATTGCCATCTTATTACATTAAATAATCTAATTTCAAAGTAAAGCTTGTACCCGAAAATGGGTATCCGAAAAACATAGTCAAAGTCAAAGTCAAATATCTTTATTCAATATAAAAGCATTCACTTACTTATTGATAGTCAAAAAACTCTACCACCGGTTCGGAAGGTAAGCCACTGACCTGAGAAGAACCGGCGTAAGAAACTCAGCGGGACATTATTTTTTTTTTACTTGCCAAAAAAATTACAAATATGTGTACAATTATTAAACTCCTATTAAACTCCACTTGAAAGAGCCTGGAGCGATCAATTCATTTCCAGAGTGTGTTATCAGTCATATAATCACTAATACTATAATAATTGAGACATACTTTTCTTTTTTTATTAAATGCATATTTTTTTTTATTGATTAACAAAACAAACAACACTTACATAAAATAAATAGTACAGTTGCACACAGATATGTGGCCCAATAAAGTTGTCACCAGTAGCTATTATACTTTGCCTCAGAAGTATAAAATTATAATATCTCACAATAACGGTCATTAGATGTTTAAAAGAAAAATGTTAATGATGAGAAAAATAGAAGATACAAATATAAAAACTAAAACCTAAATGTTTTGAAAAATAAAATTTTAATGTTATATGTTCATTTCAATTTTGATTGCGGCAAAACATTTTTCTATACTATACAATATAATAGATATATCGTAACTTATAAAATACTTAGTTTTCCATTACACCCTTTGGCGCAAGTCACTGTCCACTACGCTAAACGGGTGATCAAACAATGATAAGTATATAAAAGACCGGAGGTCCTGGACGAATCGGTTGCTTGTTTAAATCTGCACATTGCTAATGCACTCGCTAACTATAACAGATAAATTACGTGAAAACTACGCAGACTCCATTCACGAACAAATTCACTTATGGGATTTCCATTAAAACCGACCGCGCGGTGTGCAGAGCCTACTTTGTTAGAATTAGTGATATATTTAGAGATCAAGTCATATAAGCGAACGCTGTGTATGAATTAAATTAGTGATGCACAGACAGTCGCGGCCGGTGGACGCGTTAACGGCCCGTCAGACGCTGGCGTGAAATCTCTTTTGTAAGCACGCGCAAATTTCAATTAAACTACCGACTGAACTGATATATTATAACTTTCAAATTAGTTACGTTTTAGCTATAAATCGGTTGTGACTATGTCGAAGAACCATCAGATATTGGGAGGCGTGGAGTCCCCCAAGGGACAACCTCGGCCCGCGAATCCTGTAGACCTCAATGAGGTCGAAATGGTGTTCGGAACGCCGAATTCTCCGAAAGGCGTGCAACCAGACGTGCATTTTATCAGCAACGAAAGGAACCACACCAAGGAGACAGTAAGCGAGTTTTTTATTCAAGTTTATTTATGGTATAGAGATAAAAACGCATATTCATTCCTTACGTCGTCTCGCCTTTGTGCGCGTTGCCTATATCACGCGAATAAATACAAGCAAAGTGACTTTAATTACACGGCATTGTCCATAATTTTAAAATTACTTACATTACAACGTGGAACAATACGAGTACATAGAGGATGAAGCGCATGCTGTGCAATTGACTTAAATTTGGAAACCGGTTGGATTTCCAAACTCATCACGGTAACATTGTGGAATTATGGGTGTAATGTTAACTTGGATTTATGTCAATTGTAAATTATAGCAAATTTAGCACAATCTGAATAACTCTAAATTAATAATATCAGTTAAACGCTTAGAAAATCTATAAAAAATTAATATAATAATATTTCCCACACAATATCACAGATTGTTGGAAGAAATAAATTTAAGTGTTATTAGGTTAAACTTAATTTAAGGTTTCGGAAAATGCTACTCACTACAATTTTTGTAGATAAATGGTAACAAACTATCAGCGTAGTATTCAACAAAAATTCACATTTACGTTTCATCTTTATTGCAGATACTAGCACTAAAATTAAATTAATCATAAAACGTATAGTTTTATTGTTAGATATGTAAATTTAACGCGACGTTATCAAGTTTAGTAATATTTCAAAACCTTACTGACGGTAATAAATGGTTTGGAAATCTTTGATTCCGAAGGGAAATTAATCTTCTGGAGTTATTAAGAAAAATAAAGAAATTTAAAATTTCAGATATTGTTAATGTTTGTCATTTAGTTACAATGATATCGATCACTACATTAAGCAATTTATATACATATATTGCCGGTATTACCCTAAGACAGAACATGCTCTGTAAGTAGACCACCATCTGCGTTAGGGCCAAGACAAGCTTTATGAACTATATGTAAATGCCAAAACACATCGACTGTGCATCATTTGTATCTAGCTATAAAACATTTAATAAGGATTGTGTACATCTCGCTAATACGGACTTAACCAAATTACTTTTATAATAATTGAAAGTGCCTCAGAATTTCTGTACATGGACCCACAAATTAGGCTATCATCACTTGATTCAATATTATTAACTTTATATAAGGCCTTTTCAATATTATCTTACCTTCCTTCATGGTACATCAGTATCGCTGAATCCGTGCAAAAATGCACTCCGTAGATAATTTCACCGTGGATCAATAATTCATGAGCTTGCTCGGCATTCGCGTAGAAAGTCACTGATTCCACTGCTGAAATGAATTATTGCATTTCAGTCGGCTTTAATCAATTACAATTCTCTAACGCCCGGTTTCTGAAACACTGATGATCGGAGAAGTCAGAATGACCTTCTTAATGAGCAGAATGATCAATTCAAAGAGTTTCACAATCCTTTTGGCACCTCAAATAAAATTCCAAAATCCATTTCGACAGCTGACATTCACATGACTTCCATTTGACAGCTGATTCGTTGGCTTCTACGATGTTTCAGAAACCGGACGCTAAGCTACGGCTAAGTTACGCTAATATGTTAATATATAATCATTAGAATCCACTGTTAATCTTAGTCTCAACTTTTAACGGCTGGTACCGATATTCTATATCTTTAGATTTGGTTACCGCCGATAGGTATTTCACATTACCTCCATGATACGTTAAAATGCTAAATTCTATCTCCAGTAACCAAATCTACAGATAGATTGAATATTGATAACGACCCTAAGACATTAATAGTAGCGGCATCGCACTTCGTTTGAACGCCATCTGCATCCAATGATATTATATACGAATACGAGGTAGATATGACATTAGCGCACCGAAACTGAGGCACTCAAATCACACCAATTGGTGTAAATAGATTGCAATTCTAGAGACTGCTATCTCTTTCCGTATCATACGTTCTATACCATCTGTCACATTCATTTATATATGTCATATAATGTAAAGCGGAACGGTTTTTAAACACCAGCAAATAACAAGATTACTTGATTACTTTATTCAATTCACGCATTTAAGTCATCTCAGTATATAGGTAATAATGTCAGTGTCAAAACAGGATACCGCTCGACTCACGCGTTAAAGAGTAGTCCGAATTGTTAAACAACGGCGAAATATTAACTAGGTGTTACGTTACGCTGTAAGCTTGGTGGAAATAATGGTTACTAATGACATTTTCACTTTACAGCGTTTATGGTCACGGGACAGACCATGGACGCCGTAAAGGGTTCGAGACGTTGGGAATTCAAACCAAAAATAAACGCGAAAAATCCGTAAACATAGTTTCATTTAGTAATGTGCTCAGTTTCCGAGTTGTTAACTTCAGTATCGGGGACCATGGGTTCAATTTCTTGTGCAGACAAGTACTTGTGTACCCGCAGATAATTGTTGTCCGAGTGAAATTTTTTCTACACAAATGTAGAAATTTCGACGGAATGTTTTTACATACAGAAATACTTTCTTACAATATAGGATAATCCTTTGCTACCGTAAGGACAATGTTAAAAACAAAATCCCTGGGAACAGAGGTTGACGCGATTAACCAAATATATATAGTTAACGTATTTACTAAACTAATAGTAGACTAATAACGAAGTAAATAATCCGGTTAACTAACAAATTCAATCGGCGATCGGAATATGCGGAATTTATGTACATATGACCTTGACATTGCCACTAAGACAATGATAAGTTTATCGTTCGTCACATTAAAAGCGTTTTACTAGATTACAAGCACCACAAAGTTAATTGGTTAGAGATTAACCTGAGTTTAAAAACTAGAATTAATTACAAATTTAAGCGTTATTTATCACGTATTCTTTTTTTAGGTTTAAGACAAAAAAAATGTGTAGACAAGATTATTGTAAACTTATTCCACCCTGGGAGGATCCGCACTTGCTTATTCCGAATTACGCGTCTAGACGCTCCAGCCACTAATATTGATGACAGGATCGTCCGGGTAAGTACCACGACTTCACAGAAGACCGGCGCGAATTGAAAGTGTTATACTCCGCGTTTCGTATGGTAAGTGAGGTAACCGGGGCCAACTTTATTAAAAGGTGGCAACGCATCTACAAGCCTACGGGTGTTGCGAACGGGCCGGCGGTTTAACTTGACATCAGGTAAAGCCAGCACGTTTGCCACCTTCTCACATAAAAAACGAAAAGAAAATAAGCTAAGCTATCGACATCCTCACTACAAATCAATATTAAGCTAAACATAACCTCGATTACAGATAAGTTGAGTAGTTGGGTCGAGCTTCAATGAGGAAAGCATGTGCCAAGTTAGTAAAACAATGATAGTATTGTTTGTTAATAACTGGATTCCACAGATTCAGAATTATTGAATATCCTTCTCCATCCATCACCTTACACATGACTTTATTGTTAAAATTAATTAATGTCCAACTTGACCAAAATAAAGCAAATGTTTAATTAACTAAGCGCGTCAGTTAAGAGCGCGATATCAAGTATTATTTTCCTATTGACGTATATTTCATAAAGTAGGAAAGACAAACAGAAACTAATTTTAATGGAGGAGGGACGGATCTAATACATCGACATATTCCATTGACATATAGGTAATACATTTTTATATTACGAATTATAATATCTACTATTAATATACTCTGCTGACTAAACTTTACTTCAACATACTGTTATCAATTCTAATATCTTAATTATAAGCTGTTGATTATCTGAATTATAAAGAAAATAAAAAAATTACATTTAACGTGCGCGATTTTAATTACTTCTTATATTTACGCGAATAATACTCATAAAAAAAACTATTTTATGGATTTTATTACGATTTTTGATTTTACAGAGTTTTCATAGAGCCCATAGTGATAGGTTCGTGAATTAATATTAATATATACACAGTTTAATTAATGTGTTTTATATTAGTAAATTTAGTCTGACTTCTTTGAAAATACAAATAAAACTTCTTTAACTATATTCACACATTTTAATAAATTTAATTATACGTAAAGAAATTCCGCTAAATTTAGTTTTCGCCATAATACAAGAAATAATTATGGAAACGGTTTACATACATAACAATATACTCATATGTCCGATACTTAAAAGAATCCAGTTTTATTAACAACAGCTAAGAAGCCGTTCGCCTCAAGGCCTATGACGAATGGACAGGCATTTTCCGTGTCACCGTACACGTCACGACTGTACCATGTAAACCAATAAATCAATATCATTCTCGGCGTAGCACCGCGCCAAAGCCTTCCTGGGTTCAACGACCTCTCACACGTGGCTATCATTATTTGGCGATGATATAATCATTACACGGCCTTCGTACGATCACCGAGTACGTCCGATAACGAAGATTTCTCAATAATTGTTCAATGTCGCGGCACCGAATTATAGAACAAGCTAGCTCGACCCCGGTTTCGCACGAGTAAACGAAGTTTCCACAATTAACAAATGTACGGGGTTTTAATTGAATGAAATGGGGAGTTGCCTTTTTGAGGGATGATTTACAACGCCGCTGAAAGAAAACGTAGTGAAAAACCTACATATAAATGAAATAAAAGTCTTCGAAGATATGTGCAATACGCCAATCCGCATTGCAATACAGTGGACATTTAGCAAGTGTGGATATATTAATCGACATTACGTTTATAACCTTTTAAGGCCTTATTGGTCTGGTCTTAGGCAATGCGAAGGCACTTTCTTCACCCTTTTGAAAGTAACTGTTGATATTATGGTGGGAATGGAGACCACGAAAATTATTATTTCTGGTTGGAATTCTGTTTTCCATAACGCACTTAATTAGTTTTCTTCTCAAACGCCTTTACTACCATCGCTCATGACATTGTGTTATCTCTCCATTCCCATTATAAGATCTCAACTGAAGCACTGGATTAGTTCCTAGCTAACCAAAATCATGTACGTTAGTTTGGATAGCTTGTATCTTACGAAGTCCCTACCATCTCTACTGTCTTCCATCCAAGATTAAATTAATGCTTGT